GGGTGGGTGGGAAGAGATTAACTAAAGAACTTGTATGCATATATGCATAAACCATGGACACAGACATAATGTGGGGAAGTGGGTGGGTGCAGGCTTGAAAGGGATAATAGGGAAAAAAGGGGACATCTGTAATTCTTTCAACAGTGAAGATTTTTTTAAAAAGAGAAAATATATTTAAATGAAGTTGATCTTAATTCAATTTTCTTTTCTTCACTCTTTAAAAGTTTTTAAAAAAATAATTTCTTATTTTTCAATTACAGTTGACAATACATTATATTAGTTTCAGGTCTACAACATAGTGATTAGGAGTTCATATAACTTTTGAAGTGATCATCCTGATAAGGCTAGTACACATCTGACAACATACATGGTTATTACAATATTATTGACCATATTCCCTATGCTATACTCTACATTCTGTGACTGTGTACATCTTTATAGCCTGAAGGTAAACATCTTAGTCACTTTTCCTTTTTTACCTATCCCTCCATCTCCCCTCCCATCTTGCAACCATCAAAATGTTCTCTTTATCTATGAGTTTGTTTCTGTTTTGTTTGTTTGTTAATTTTTGTTTTTTAGATTTCTATATAGATGAAATGATATGATATTTGTCTTGCTCTGACTTATTTTACTTAGAATAATACCCAGTAGATCTATCATGTTTTTGCAAATGTAAAGATTTCTTTCTTTTTTATGGCTGAGTAATATTCCATTGAGTCTTCACTCCTCCTACCAATCTTGATGTAGCTTCTTCTTTATATCGTTAGTTATAGGATTTAGTTCAGTTAGATTTTAGGCAGTTCTCAGTGTGAACTATTATTTTACAGAAAAATATACTTCATACTTTCATGTTTTGTGTGTGTGTGTGTGTGTGTGTGTGTGTATGTGTATGTGTGTGAGAAAATTCTAGAACAGCCATTTAAAAGCAGAAATCCAAAAATTTACATTAAAAATGATAAGTGAAAGATCTTACTAAAGGTCACAGAAGAGTATCACAATTATTAATTTTCTCATGTGAGAGGCATGAATATCCCTTTTTAAAAAGTAAGTGCTATAAAATGTTATCAAAGTATTACTGAGTTCTTACCTATCCCCCAAAGTAATCAAGTGAAATTTGTTTATAAACAAATGTGGAAGTCCTACTGCTTTTTGTTCACTTTACAAATTAGCAGTTCTATGGGGAACTGAACTTCTCCATTAATTTGATTCGCCCACTTGTTCCTTGTGGTTCTCCCAAGGAGAACATTTGCAGTATTGTTGAAGTGTCATTAGGGCATTACTGACTCAGTAATTTGCAAGTTAAAACTGACCATTGTAGTCAGCCTTCAAAATCCAACCAGGGATGAAAACCTTAATGCCTTCACTTTAATTTGAGTGAGGACAGCAGCCCAGTTATTTTAGGAAAAGAGGAAGCAGCATTTGCCTTCCAAAGATGCTTTATATATTGGATACACAATCAATCTACAAAGGTGAGATCCACCAGATTTGAATTGGTAAAATATGTAAATCCTTGCCCACTAACGTGTCAGAGATGAATGTCTGATTAGGAGCTGGAAGCCCCAACTGTAAAATTTTACTGGGCAAGACCATTATTCCACCCGCATAATGGGGCTTGATTTAGAGGCTCTATTTTAAGTTCACACATCCAGCACCAAATGCAGAAAGCTGAGCTTTGTTTAATTTGTCTGGGGGCAGTGCCCTAATTTTCTATAACACTATTCACTTCCCTTTCTTAAGAATGAATAACACATCTTCTTTATGGAACTCTGTGCATCTTTTCATTTGGGAGCAGTAGCTTTTCCAAGCTCCTCTATTTGGTTCCTCTTTTATGACCTTTAAAAAAAAAATTCTACTGGATTATGGTATTTGAAGTTGCGTTGTCCGTATTGCCCTTGTGTGTCCATGCAAAAGAACAAGCAGTATTATTTTAATGTGACATCACACAGCATTTTAAAGTTGACAGATGAAGGAACTGAGGTCCAGGAAATATGAGGCCATGCAGTTCGGGCAGCAGGTTATAGCTCTGGGTCTTTGTTACCCTGCAGGAGAACTTGTCACCAAATTGGGTGTCATTGCAGGGTCACTCTGTGGCTAGCCCTTGAGACTTGGAATTTATGTCATTTTGGCAGAGCTTGGGGCTTTCTCATAGGCATGAAGCATGAATAACCTTGGGACTCAAATACTTCCTTTAGATTGTGATCTGGTGCTTTATCATTAAGGCTCAGCCTGTTCAAGGGGCATCTCTTCTACACAGGAAGTTCCTGAAGATGGCACTAGAAGTGACTCTCTTCTCAAAGGGCTGGCCAACCACCCTGTCCAGAAGTTCTGAGACCATCTTCCTGTCCCTGTCATGGGACTCCATGTCTCATTGGTTCAGTCACTGGGCACACAGAGAGACGGAAAGTTCCAGACTGACATTCACATGGCCCCCTGGGTTACTTGGCTGGGGAGCCTGATAAAAAGAAATAAACAAGCATTTTAAAACCCTGAATTGGGGATAGGAAGATAATAGAGTTCAAATTCCAACTTCAACAAAATCAATTGTGAAAACTCAGTTACCGCCCTCTTCTAAGCCTTGGCACCCCAAGCCGGGCAGGTGTGTGCCTTGCCTTTGCTCGCCTGTTCACTCCATACACCTTTGCTGAACACATGCTTTCAGCCAGACACTGGGTAGGCCCAACTGGACCAGAAATAAAGTGCTGGACGCTGCTTCAGAGGGTTGCTCACAGTAAGTGAAGCCTGTGAAACCAAGTGGCAGCTGCAAATGTTTGTGACAATTTTGTTAGAAAAGCTAAGCAAAGAAAGTAAGATAATATTTAAAAGGGAAATAGAGAAAATGATTCCTTTATGAAAAAAATATATATTTTTAGCTTTTTTTCTCATTTTTTAAAATTAAGGTTTTATATATATATATATATATATATATATATATATATATATATATATCTTACCATTGCACCCCCTCCATCCCACTCCCATACATGTGAAAAATACATATTTTTTTCCTTTAGTGGTTTTGTCCTTTTTGCCCACTGTGAAAGGACAGAGATAACACTGAATTTTCATTTTGCACAGGGCCCTGCAAACTATATATATTTACCAATCACTTTCTACTCCCTTCTCTTGATACATTAGTCTTATGATGGTTATATACTTTATTTATTGTCCGTTATCTTCCACTATAATATGAATGCCATAGGAGCATAAACTGTTTTGTTTAATGAACTATCTCATGGGCTTACAACAGTTTACAAATCCACATGATACCTGTTGGAACACAAACTTGCCATGCTAATGGTCAGTTTTATGTGTCACCTTGGCTAGGCTACTATGCTTAGTTATCCTATCAAACACCAATCTTGGCATTGTAGTGAAGGCATTTTTAAAAAATATATATATATTTTATTGATTTTTTACAGAGAGGAAGGGAGAGAGATAGAGAGCCAGAAACGTCAGTGAGAGAAAAACATCAATCAGCTGCCTCCTGCACCCCCACCCCCCCCCACCGGGGATGTGCCTGCAACCAAGGTACATGCCCTTAACCGGAATTGAACCTGGGACCTTTCAGTCTGCAGACCGACGCTCTACCACTGAGCCAAACCGGTTTCGGCGCAGTGAAGGCATTTTGCAGATATAATTAAAGTCCATAATCATTTGAAGGAAGGAAGGCTTCCAAGATAAATTGGGTGGGTTTGATGCAATCAAGTGAGATACCTTAACGGGTCACCTGAGGTTTCCCTGAAGAAGAAATGCTACCCGGGACGGCAGCGTTGGTCCATGCCCGAGAGTTCAGCCCCCTTTCTGAAAGCATCCCCTAAGGGTTTGACATTTGCCTACCCAGTCCCTTCAATTGCATGAGCCAATTCCTTGCCTAAATCTCAATGTATATCTCCTACTAGTTATATCTCTCTGACTTAACCCTGACTGGTAAGGCCACCTTTTAAGATACAAAAATGCCAGGCCTGGTATGTTTCTGAATGGGAGAGAGATTTGTCCTTGTTTCCCGGTGGGCATTGATTTGCATTTTTAAAACGTACTGCGACTATTCATATTAATCTGGACGTTTCTGTCTTTGTTCTGAATTGATTCCAGTCCAATGGAGGGAGTAGGGTTTGGGGGTTTCAAAGTGGTCTAGGAGAGAAACATGGGTCACTGAGAATGAGAGCGAAGTTGGTTTGCTGATGAAGAAGATAAAGGAGAGGAAGTACTCAAGACGATGAAGTAATGAGATGCTTCGGACACTGTCCCCTATGTGCGGTTTTAGAAGGATCCCTCTGGCTATAGTGTGGCTATACTCTGCCCAGGGGCAAGGCTGGAAGTGGTGGGACCAGTTTGGAAGCTGCTAGGCCAAACAAAGACGGGGCCTTGACTGTGTGTAGAGTGGTGAGGAAATATGCTTGGATTCTGCACATATTTCAGAACTAGTGCCAACAGGAGTTGCACACAGAATGGATATTTCCTGAGAGTCTTGGCCTGAGACAGCAGATAAAGTGGTTCATGGGGAAGCAGTGCATTTCCCAGAGTTCCACAGGCCAGGCAGAGCAGGACAGAGGCAGAGAGCAGCAATCTTGTGTTCGTTTCATCATTCTCCCCCTTCCCCCTTTTCCATTGTCTTTAAACTTTCCCCTAAATTGCTCCTCTAGCATCCCTTTGGAGCATCTTCCCTTCTTTAGCAAATTCAGCCTGGGTTGCATCCCCAGGATTTCCTTTGTCAATGTCACCTTGGAAGACCCTCTCAGAGCAAGGGTTACGGGTGGCTCCCACCACCCTATGTTGTCATGATGTCTGCCTAAGGGCTGGCTGTCTCCCACAGTTTCACATCAGTGATGTCTTGACAGCTCCCCCCCACCCCCCCCCCCATTTTACTTGCATCTCATGGCCTCCTCTATTAAGACCGAGAGAATGAAACAAAGATTTTGCTATTGGGTTTTATGGACACCACGTACAGTCCCACATGATTTACCTGTAGCTGGCTTCTTTTTCCCCTTTTTGCTTTCCAGCACTTTCAGACCATGCTGAAGTCTAAACTGAATGTCCTAACACTGAAAAAGGAGCCCCTGCCAGCCGTCATCTTCCATGAGCCCGAGGCCATCGAGCTGTGCACCACCACGCCCCTGATGAAGAGCAGGACTCACAGCGGCTGCAAGGTACGTGGCCCGTGGCCCTCCAGGCCCTCGTGTGGGGCAGATGAAAGGACATGTGGCTTTAAGACTCTTGTTTCCAGTGGTAACAGTTTTGAAGGATGAAATTGAGTGATGGTCATATGAATTCAAATCCTGCTTTATTTCTCTTAATAATATAGCACTCTTCATAATTTGAGGGTAACATTAAAGACCTAAGTTAAAGGATAGGTTTTAAAAAAAAAAAAGTAGTTTCTTGCCATATTGTTTATAGTCCTGCGGAACTTCATAAGAAAGCTCTGTCCATAGGAGAGTTCCCCCCTTTGTGTTTTCTGTCTGAATAATACATGTTTTAACAAGTGAAAACCAAAACAGGTTTCTCAACAGTTGTACTCCATGAGTCCTGTGGGAGTAATTTTGCATTTTTTGTTGTGCTTCAGCTCTCAGAATTTATATTAATATTCATGCCTGAGAATGCATTAAAAACATGTTTTGTTTATGTAAACTGTAATGCCAACATGGGAAAAAACACCCCTGGAAATTATGTGTGTAACTTTGATGAGTATAGAAGTCAGCGTAGAGGTAACAAAGAAAATACCTTACTCATACTTTGTCATCAGAAATTTGTTCTGATTTTGAGGGGCAGGAAAATGCTTGTTTGCATGTGGATTTCTTTTATAACCTTGGAGACACACTCCTTACTGCTTTCCCCATTAAGGAAGCAAAGATCCACTGGCTGTACCTGTTGGAGTTTCCCGTCCCCTCCTCAGTTCTTGCAGCAGTGATCACATTGGAGCCCCCCGCAATCTTGAGTGATGGTGATGTGCACAAAACCTCACACACGGCCATTCACTCCATGAGGACTCAGTGGGTGCTCACTATCTGCCCAACACTGGGGACAGAGTGCCCACCAACCAACAGCATTTTCACAGAAGCTTAACTGCTCCTGAGAAGAGGAGGGAGGGGGAAATACAGGCAAAGGAACATCACAGCCAGTCTGAAGGATTTGTGGAGGAATCTTTGAGGCAGCAGGAATAATGTGTGCTGATTCTCAAGAAATGGACTCGCGTGCTTTAGAACGGAGAGCAAGGGGCCAGGGTAGCTGGGAAGTTGAGAACTTTGTGGCGAGTAGTGGGGTTTGGTGGGGGTTTGACTATAAAGAGCCTCATGGTCATGGCAAGGAGTTTTTGTTTTAGTTACTACCAGGAACCAGCAGAGGAATTTAGGCAGGTGAGTAATATGAATCCATTTTAAAAGGATTTTTAAAAAAATTTTTATTTTCAGTTAGTTTCCATTCCATGTTATTTTGCATTAGTTTCAGGTGTACAGCATAGTGGTTAGATAATCATATATTTTACAGTGTGTTCCCCCTGATATTTCCAGTACTCACCTGACACCATACATAGTTGTTATAATCCTATATAATAAAAGGGTAATATGCAAATTGACTGAATGACAGAATAACTGGAACTCCCTCGCTTGCCCTCGCTGGCCCTGCCCCGAGTGCCCCCCAAATCAGGGGTGGGGCAGGCTGGAAAACTACCCACAGCCCCCACCCCAGTTGGCCGGTCCCCAATGGCTCTCATCAGGCAGGTTAACTGGACCTCTCCAATGCACAAATACATGCACTGGGGCTCTAGTATTATTATAATATTATGCTGTACTACATCCTTGTGACTATTTTGTTACTACCAATCTATAGTTCTCAATTCTTTTACCTTTTTCACCAAGCACCCTCCCTTTGGCAGCTGTTTGTCTGTTCTCTGCATCTGTGAGTCTGTTTTAATTTTATTTGTTTATTTTGTCCTTTAGATTCCACATATAAACTTATGGTATTAGTCTTTCTCTGACTGAATTATTTCACTGAACATAATACCCTTTAGGTCCATCCAGTACTCTCACAAATAGTAAGATTTCATTCTTTTTATGGCCAACTAATATTCCTACCATTTTCTTATCGTGCATTGTTGGTGGGAATGCAGATTAGTATAACCTCTATGGAAAGCAGTATGGAGAGCCCTCAAAAAAAGTTAAAAATGGAACTTTCCTAGGACCCAGTGATTCCACTTTAGATGGTAACTGTGCTCAGGTGAACTTCCAGCTTCCCCAGAGCAGTTGCCAGAGATTCCCTTCCAGCTGGGGAGAGTGGATCCCCGGGACTGGCTGCAGGTCACGTTGGATCCAGTGCTGTTGGTGACTTGATGATATAAAGGAATTGTAACAATACTCACTAAAGTTAAAAGTAATATGATTGGGTTTTACATACTTTAGAGATTTTCTTAAGTCATTTTATATCCTGTTCCAGTTGGGGAAATGGTCCCTGAAAAGCACGATGAAGTCAGTAGGGATGAGTGTAAGGAAAATCGTTCAGTTTGATAAGGTCTATAGGGTATATTTAAATGGGAGGGGGAAATGCAGTTACAGAGTAAGGAGATTTAACAATCCAATCCTGATATGAAAGAGGGGTGTGTGTGTGTGTGTGTGTGTGTACACACACACACACACACACACACACATAGATATACACACTCTCTGAGAGAGAGAGAGAGAGCTTCATGGTGTCATTTTATTTTCTGTTATCCCCTCAGGTCATGCTCATTTATTTCACCTCTAAAAGGATGTTGAAAACAATAGATCAGAAGACAGGCCACAGGGAGTAGGGTTGCCCTGGTGTACTTCGGGGCTGGTAGAGGAAGGGAAATCGCAATGTTTTCAGCTGGACACACAAAAAAACTCTGCCTTCAAGGTGAAAAACACATCCATGTGGGCTAGAAAAAATAACAAGTTCTCCATCCCTAGAAACCTTGAGGAGGGGCATCTGGGCGTAGAGAATTGTAAACCTGAGATCAGGGATCTGGGCCAACACCTCTTGAATTGCTTTCCAGCTTTATGATTTTATTTGAAGGGAGTAAACCTCCAATGTATCATTGTCCAAACTGTGTACTATAATACACTTCCTACATTTAAATGGATTGTAAACCTCTTGGAACTACAGCTTTTAACTCTCAAGGACAGTGTCGCATTTGTATTCAGAGTCCTATTCTTTTGTAAAAAACAAAACACACAGAAAAGGTTAGATTTTGAACCGTGATATTTCTCTTTGCATCTCTAGACCTCCCCCAGTTTTCCTGACCATCCCTTGGAACAAAGTGCAGTGTTTCCTCTCTGGTTCTTGCGAATAACTTAGCTCATGAAATGGCAGCTGCACAAGGACCTCTCTCTCGGACTCATGCCTGCCAGGAATAATGAGCTCGGTGCAGCCCAGGCCCAGCTGCACGGCCAGGATACAGGACTTGTACCTTTCATCCTCACACAGGGCGAGGTCTCTCTTTTTGCCCACGGTCCCTCAAGCCCTGCTTGCATACCTTTAGGCTTGGGGAAAGGAGAGAGACAAGAAGAAACGAAGGAAAGGGGAGTTGAAAATGGGTTATGGTGAGCTCTGGCTGGGTCTTGGCTCCTCTCTGCTTACCCATCTCCCCTGATCTGTATTCTCCGTGGGTCCTGATGGCATTGCCTGGCCAGGCCATTCATGTTGCGGGCAGCTGGGGCTTTGTGTGTTTTCTCTATTGCTGCCACTCTTCTCTCCCTTCCCCCTGTGGTGGAGTTCTTTAACTGCACAGCCCACTGCATCCCATTAAGACACTCCCAAAAGAACCCTTGCAAGAGCCCTTCACAGTATCGGAGATGTTGTGTCTGATTTTGCAGCAACAGTGGCTTGTCATTCCTGCCTTCTCCTGCTTAGCACAATGCAATCCTAGGTAGCTACAGCTTCTTAGCAAATACTGATTTAAATAAGTCATTGAAAACCTACTGTGTACATGGGATTGTGGAGAAAGGAATCAAAGTAGGTGTTGTGGGTCGTGCATCTTACAGCCAAGTAAGAGCAATAAGGTGAGTGTGCCTCCCCAGATCTCCAGGGATCCTGACTCCCATGTGTATCAGAAACCCTTGGGGTAGATTTCTGGACCTTCTTTACAGAGATTTTGATCAGGCATTCCACTTAGTGATGGGAACAGAGCTTGCACTTAAAAACTGACCATGGATTTACATGAAGTGGCATCTGGACCCTGCTGTGAACACGGGGACTTGAGTGATGAGAGTAGTGTAAGTGACATAAATGTGTACACATCCTATTAGGTGGGAGCTGGGCTGGGGAATGGTATGTGGGGGCTAGCGGGCACTTGCATGGTTAGAATGGGTTTGCTGCACAGCTGCTCAGTGGGCTGATGTCGAAGCAAGAGCGTTAGGGCCTGATCTCACCTGGGCTGAAGCTCTGGTTTCCAAACCTCACCTCCTCCTAAGTGAGGCACGTGACTTGGCATCCCGAGAAGCCCTCTCTTAGGCTCTGCCATTTGCAAGGGCAGGAACCATAAAACAGTCTAATTAATTTCCAAGAAGAACTTCATGATTGTTAAAGCATACCAATTTTTATATTACTCTTTTTGAGATTCTCTGCAATCAGGAGTGACAGTAGTAGTCCCTTAACTCTCAGAGAGGATGTGGTTGGTTTACAGTTTCATGGGATGAGAAGAGAACTTTCTGAGCTGAAAGCTTGCCAGGCAACTCTCAGATCCTACCATTTCACGCATGTGCTAAACAGCCAGCTTAGAAGTGAATTCCAGAAGCCCACTTATAAGAAGAGCTCCAGATTTGAATTCAAATATGTTGAGAATTAGTGTCTCTTGTATCTATTGTCTAGACTTATATTTTTGTGTTTATTTGGTCAGGAAAGTATTTAATTAGAAATACAGTTATGTTTTCTAATTTTAGCCAAAACCTCAGTTTTTTACCAATTAACAGAAGGAAGAAATATTAATTATGTCATGTTGTCATGCTTTTCAAATGCATTTTTGCAGCCCTATCTTGGTGTAGGTCCTTTGGGCATTGCCTGTTGTACATATTTTTCCCCCTGCAAAATAAGTTTCTGATTTTGACGTCAAGACAGAATACATACTATGTATTTATATAATATATAAAGGACCATGGTATTTATTAGTTGTTTTCCTCTAAATTCAGAGTGGATGGTA